GGTGGTTTTTAGTCAGTAAGAGTCTGACACTCCCTCCCGCCTCACCCAGGCGGGAGCAGTCATTCGATGATTTTCCCCCCTTAAAAAAAAATAATCGGTAACTAATATATTACTCCTAACTTTGCGCCATACTAAGTTCTCCTATGTCAGGGATACATTTACAAACACGTCTATTTATAAACTAAATCAAATATTGTGCAATAGGTACCAAAAATAAATAATTAACATTAACCATGTTTTTGATTAAGGTACATAAATATTAGCTTTATTTGGCATTGATCATCATCATTTTAGTAACCTAAATCTTCAAACGTAGCTCTCGAATACTCCAATTTTATCGTTCTACGTGTACAGTGCATATTACCCAAATAGAAATTGGGTTGACAAGCTATAAATAGCGGCTCGTATTCACAAAATGGTGGCCTAATGACAGTTATTTGGCCATCGTACGCAAAACTTGTGATTGAACATTCAAGATCATTCTTTAGTTACCTATGTTATTTTTTCTCAGAATGGTCTATGTAAAATGTATTATAAAAAGGTAATAAAAGTAAAGGTATAACTTTACATCGTAATTTTTATTGCTACCTAGTAGTTTTGTTTACTGGTTGTCGTAATACAAATGTACGTATTGAGTACAAAGACAATCCTCAAAAGGCAACAATGGTAAATTTTGAATATTTAATAAGTTCTTTTATAAAACAGGAGGTAACTACGATTTGTAGTTTTCACTTTAGCACAGTTTACGTTCGTCAAAGTAGCTGCAGATAGCAAATGCAGATTCGAATCATCGAATGGAGAAGAAAGCGCAAAAAAATTCTTCATAACTCTTTTCAAGCCACCGCGCACACGTAGAAAGCAGCTAGTTAGTAATGAAATCACAGGGCATGCCAGATCTACAGATCCTCCTCTGCCTCTCGTATACCAGATAACATGCTTCATTACTTTTCTTCACAAATACAAAACCCAATTACACCTTTACCTGACTCGAAAACTCAGGTCATTGTGGAATGTGCGATAACTCACAACGATGAAGTAAGTTTGTGTAAAAACTCGTTTTTACTCATTTACAAACTACATTAAAACTAAGTTTTAATACTACTTATGGAAGTCCAGGGTTTTCCCTGACTCTTCTGGTCGATATTATTATGTGTTCAGCAGTAGACGTCTTGTTGTTGGTATAATGATAGTGATAATGGTACAATGACAAACACTACACTACTACAAACAAAATAAACAAATTACTTCATAGTTAGGGCCCTTTCTTGTCTCCAGCACATCCCCGCATATTGACCGCAAGTATTTGTTGCAAGCAGTCATCACAACCTCGTCAATTTCCAGCATCCACACGTACTTTGGTTTCTCCTTGAGGAGTTCGTACAAAAGAGCTCCATCGCCGCCACCTTGAACAATCAGCCCCTGTTAGATTGCAAGCGAGTGGTGCATGCAGGTTAATACGCTATAAGTAGTATGATCGTGTCCTTGACTTACTTAGGTAGGTATATCGTTTTGGCATCGCGCTAACTAAACCGAACTAAAGGCAAATTAATGCGCTGGATATTTACGAAGAATCGTATTAGTAAATAAGCTACGAAATAGCAATTTTAAATATCTTAAAATAATTAGGTATCTATCGGTTCAGTATGTGTCATTTGACTCTGAAGGAATATTTAAACAAACCGAGAGGTCTTTCAAAGTTCACAGTTATCACAATTCAGATATAATAAAGTAGGTAATGGAAAACCCATACAATTTTATTTTGTAACGGTTTTTACAAGTTACGCATGGACCTGATAATAATAACTCCTTACAAATTTCTGCTATACATCTCTTATTGTCAATTTCAATTCATTGATTGGCGTCTGGGTGTCAATTTGATGCGTAGCGAGGCGGCCGACGGCCTAGGGGTTAACAAGGCAATTTGCGCATGCATACATAATGCAACAAGGCTCAAAGTTCACATCCCAATAAAGCAGTATGAAATGAAGATGGAAAGTATTTTAGTGCCATATAGATATTATGTTATAGAAAGTTCATGCTTAAGTCGTGTGTTGACCGTAGAGTAGAATACATTCCTACTCTTCCCGTGGGTGGCGGACACATTTGGAAACCAGCAACAACACTTTTTGATAATCCTGAACCTTTTTAAAATTGCGGACTACAATCCGCGTGACAAATCTGGATATTATTGGTAAACCCTCTTATGTAGAAGGGGCACATTGACCCGCAGAGGGCCATCACGGGCTATGATATGCATAAAGCTAAAATAAATATTCTCGCCTTCAAACCGAACAAAAAATTATTATGCAAAAGTTAATTCAGCTATGATTATTTATTTAGAGCGCGAGCATAAATAAAAAGAGGTTTTTACCTAAGATGACGATTTCTTTCCCTTCATAACTCTCCTTGCCTCTTTGCATCAAAGTTTCAGTATAAATGAGATCAGCCTCCGAGATATCTGCAAGGAAATTAAATGGGTTATTATAGGCTGTTGTATCTGTAGTCTGTACACCTTATCGCATGTGTCGTCAAACGTTTGCCAGGTACATAATTACGTGTACATATTACCGGAGACTCAATCCGCGAAAAACCGGCATCGCACTTGGAAAGTCGTCTGATGTTGCGGACGTCCGTCCATAAGAGCTATATTATCCCTAATGCCTTGTTCGCACTATGTTAGATATTAGTCAAGTAGCGAGTATTTAGTAACTCTCTCTCGCTTCGATTTTGGTACAGAAGCGAGAGGGATATACTAAAAACTCGTTGCTCGACTAAAATATCAGCATAGTGCGAACAAAGCATAAGACAAACTGAGCAAGTGCCTAGGGCGCTAGGCTAGGGGATAGAGAATAGAGGGTCGCCGCAGCGTGACGCTGCGAAACGCATGTGCCCATAGCGGCGACAAAAAAAGAGGACGCCTATGAAGTGCTTGCATAGGGTACCCTCTAGATCAGGGCTGTCCAAACTAAGGCCCGAGGGCCGCATGCGGCCCGCAGCTTATTTCATGTGGCGACACACATTTCAATCTCAACATCTTCATCTTATGTGCAACAACAATAAAATTCAGTGTATGACTTGTATATAAATTTTGTCTGTGAGTAAAGAATACAATGTTAAACGTCATTATACAACTGAAAATATAATATTTCCGGCCCTTCAGCTTTTGTACGAAATTTAATTACTCCGCGAGGGTATATACATAGTTTGGACAGCCCTTTTTTTTTTTTTTTTTTTTTGAGGGGGGAAAATCATCCAATGACTTCTCCCGCCCGGGTGAGGCGGGAGGGAGTGTCAGACTCTTACTGACTAAAAACCACCCCGTTCCTACTCCTGCACTTCGAGCCGGAGCCCCGGCAAAGTTTGGACAGCCCTGCTTTAGATTAAATCCGCGTCCGGTGGCGCTGATTGCTTGCTATCAGGTCATTCACCTGCACATTGATTACATGCAAAAGTAAACTTACTTTGTAATTCATCTAGCACCAACATATTGCCGAGAGTCTTGGAATGGACGATTTGAACTCTTTGGAAAGGCGACTGTTCATCGAATATTACAGCATCGATATCGTACTCTAGTAGGCGATCGTCTGTGAAACGGAATTTTACATTATAACACGAAAGCTATAAAACTACGGGACATTTTGATGTTAAACTTTATGATTGAGTACGTTGTTTTGTTTATAGTGAACTTTTGATATGTGTTGGTTTAAAGACTATTGAGGAAGAGAATTAGCATAAAATGAGAATTAATATAAAAAATCAAAGTCAGTTTTTCTTCATTAAAGAACGGCTAAAAGACAACAATAACATTCAAACTAGTTCTAAACATATATATAAAGTTATGTAGGTACATTATGAAATTAACTATTTAATAGAAAGTGTTTAGTATTACATAAGATGGACCACTTACCCGATGTCGGATAGTACCTGCCGAAGAGGCATCGCTTTAGCGGCGCGTATGCTTGCGATTTAATAATATTGATGTATTTTTTCAGCTGATTTTCCAATACTCTCGCCGACTATTGAAAAAATAAATCATAAAGAAGGAAAAACAAAAAAAAATTGAATGCAGGTACACTAAACATGCATAGTTTTATAAGTTGGCGAAAAAATGTAAGGTTGAGCGTTTTCTTGGGTACTGGAAGGTCTGGTAGATTCGTTAGTCTGCTACTAGACGGGTCTGGTAATAGGGTCATGCATACAACTATTAGATACGGAGAACGGTAGGTGTGCAAAGCATACTTTATTCTAAGAATAGGTATAAGAAATGAATAGCTTAGAGAGTTATGTGATGTTGAGAGTGTAAAATTAATACATAAATTACAATAATACTTTTATGATCACTCGATCGCAAGTGCGTATTTCATGTATGAAATCACAGATACATTTTTTCAGATTCAAACTACAGAGAGTTCCAAATTCGAAATTTTGAATTGGTCTTATGACATAACTGGCGAATGATAAAGGGGATAAAGTTTTTACAATATGCTAGCGTTCAAATTCTTATCAAATCTGATAAATCTGAACTTTTTATATTGGGACTACTATTTGTAAGTCTGTGCTTATAATAACAATGTCAATAATGATAACTGCTAAGTTTACTTTAGGCCAGAAGTCTGATAGTTATTCGGATTTCTTTTAGTATTATTATTGTGCCGAATGGCAGCCATTTCCCTTGTAATTAACTTGACTACTTGAGGACTAGAGAGTTGATCTATTATTATTCACATTTGTACACCAGATATGGTCAAACATGTTGATACTATGCTCACTGTTCATCTGTACAACCTATAATGTGCATTCTATGATGTATTGTTATTTCACATGTGTTTTTGCAAATAAATAATCTGTAAGACACAGAATTTTATTTTTAAAGTTAAGCTTTATAGATAGATATTAGTGACTTATCATGGAGATTATAAAATCCTTACTAATATTATAAATCGGAAAGTGAGTTTGTTTGTTTGTTCCGCTTTCACGCCGTAACTATTAAACCGATTGCATTGAATTTTTGCAGACGTAAAGTTAGAAGTCTGGATTAAATAATAGGGTACTTTTTATCCCAGAAAAATTTTATATTCCCGAGGGAAAACAAAATTATTGGTATAGATGGCGCTGTGTGTATTGGTATATGTCACATCGGATACTTTTATCCTTTCGTGACGCGAGCGAAGCCGCGGGTAAAAGCTAGAACTTCTATAAAACATGAAATGAATAAAATTGACATTCCATTAGCCAGATATTAAATAATAACTACTTCTATTAAAGTGAACAGTGAAAATGTGTAATAAATAAGAATAGTTCTTTATAATAAATAAGTGCTTTGTGCTTATATCATTATACTTAAATATAAGTACTTAAATAAAATAGTAGTACATTATATTTGAAGCTGAAATATTGAAAAAGACAACCAAAACCAATCTAATTAAAATTTTATAAGGGTAATGCCATCAAACTAAGTAAAAAATGGGTATAAATAGTACAGGTATGTTATCTAACCTGAACTAGTGAGATAAACATCGTATTTATAACCCCTTTTGATTGTTGGGAATAATTTTACCCTTTCGCAGTCCAATGACATTCTTACCGAACTTTCCAGTAGTTTAGAGCACTAGAAAACAAATGAAAACTCTATACGCTCAACCTTCACATGTCTATGGTAATTTGTTTTTTAAACTGATCATTTTGTTCACCTATTGAATGCTAATAAATCTGAAATAGAACCTAACAAAATTGTGATTTTTAATAAATATTTCAATGTTATTTCACATGATTTTTTAATACAATTTTGCTTACGTTTTTTTCATTCTAAATATTTTGTAGGTATTTTTATTATATAATTCTATTATAAGTATTACACAAAATGTTTAATATAATAATCTTTCAATTTATTAACATTCACAGAGAAACTATTAACTGAAGTGCATCTTAAATAAGATGTAATCAACATGATTCTTATAAGTAATATTTTTGTTTAATTATTTAATGATTTAAAATGACATCACATGGCATTGTTCAATCTATTTCACAGTTCATTGTTTCAAGGAAGTAAACAAATAATCAAAGAACGGTAATTGTAAATAATAATCATTGATTTTATTGCGAACAATGCGTGACTTACAACCCTATTTCGAAATTAAAATCAATGACCGCACAGCGACGTAATAATGATGGTTGATGGAATTCAATTTTCTTTATTTATTGGATACAGATTAGAAAATTCAATATTCATTCAATATTGTAGTGTACTATCACATATTTCAGCAAAAAATTACAAGGCGCGCTTACCTTGAGGTTAATTAATGGTTCCTCGTTCTCCTCCTTATAATATTCAATGTTTACAGTGACAAGGCCACGGTCAAACAGTCTCACAGACACCGTAGAACCCTTCTTGCCAGTCAACAGCTTCAAAGATCCACCTTCCAGCTTTAACTCGGTGGCTAAAATAAGATTCGGAATGTATTCCTTCAGCACGGTTTCCAACTGCCCGAATACTGTTTTTTGGCCGATCTCGTCTCCCAGGCGGGCGGGGTCGATCGAGAAGTCTAGCAGCAACGTTTGGACAGACATTTTCAAGTATTAAACTTTAATTGAAACGTTTTTGTGAATATACAATTGGACGGGACCGGCGCAACCAAGAGTAGGAATAGAACGAAGTTCAACGAAGCCGCTCACTGAAATTGAAGGAAATGGCAAATTGAGTTGAATTTGAAGGATACATTTGATAGTAGGACAGTGTTATCAAGGTGAAATATTTTTATCGATTGAAATTCTTATCAAATGCTCTAATATTTTATTCAAATTACAGTGATACATTCTAGATATGTAAAAATAGTGTAATCCTTAATTGAATGTATTTTGACTGCTAAATTATATATTTTTATTAATTTTATTCAAAAAGTTTTTTTATTGGTATCCCTTTCCGCTAGTTTTGACATTTACTTTACTGGGCTGCCGTAAGCAAATAATGAAATCTAAAAAACAAATCGAGTTTTTCAGATTTTCACATTTAGCTACTAAAATAAATGTGTCCTTTAAAAGTAGTTTCATTATTTATCATGTACATTTAACAAACATATTTTTAAATTATCCTTAAAATATTAGTCCACAAAACAGTGTCGTGTTACTGGTTTGTAATAAATTGAATTTAAGAACTTAAATAGATGAGAAAAGAAAACCATTAAATTTATATGCTTGCAACATTGATTCCGTCTGTCTTTCTTTTTGTAAAAAAATTGTTGCATCGTGAGATTTTTATGAAACTCCATTATGGCTGGTAATAATACTGAAGAAGTGGAGGTGGGTAGTCCTAATTATTTACGACGTAAATTGCATCGTCCACCCGCAATTGGCATTAATTATATCGTACTTCCTTTACTTTTTACGAGATATGCTGATGTGGCTGCACTTACTTTCACTGTTGCATTTGTTTCATATTACTAGTGTTTTTCTGCCATTTTAGAAGTTTTACGTAAAAGAAAATTAGTTTCACGTGATAAATTATTGTTAAAACGTCATATTTTAATATCTATCAAGCCATTGATAAGTTTGTTTTTAAGGTTAGGAATTGAGTCTGAAGTATGACGACTTGTGTGTTCAAGGGTTCTGCGACGACGGAAACAAAGGGTACTACCAATGCGGAGGTGCCGCCAGAGTTTTTAATAAAGCATCCTCTGCAAAATACCTGGAGTCTTTGGTTCTATGACAATGATAGAAACAAAACATGGGAGGAGAACCTGATAGAGCTGACCACTTTTGATACAGTGGAAGATTTCTGGAGGTGAGTTTATGCGAGTGAGACTGATAGAGCACTGAAAAGTAATATTTCTCTGTAATTCCCATTATTTACATTGTTAGCTTGCTATTTATTGATACTGATATGAAATTGTTACTTAACACCAATCTGTAATTTCTTAGCTAGGGATGATATTAAAATTAATGGACTGTATAAATGTCAACACAAATATTCAAATAGTGTTAGTCTTTCTGTAATGTTTATTTTGGAGATGTTTTTGTGTAGTGTTATTATAGTAAATTATATAATTATAGTGTTACCAAAATGTTCCATCACTTCTATGTTCTATCTTCTGTATTCCATGTTTTATCATTCACACGCAACATGAAAGTATTATTAAAAAAAGATTAAAATTATGTTGACAAGATCTTTTAATGCATGATTGTATTTTCAGACTGTACCACCACATTAAGCTACCTTCAGAGCTGCGTCAAGGCCACGATTATGCAGTCTTCAAGCAAGGTATCCGTCCCATGTGGGAGGATGATGCTAACAAGATGGGCGGCAGATGGCTGATCAGTCTTGAGAAAAAACAACGGAACTCTGACTTGGATCGCTTCTGGTTAGATGTGGTATGTATATTCTAGTTATTTTTACCTTTCAGAAGTAAATATTGGCAGTTCTTTTGTCATGGAATTTTTTATATTTATTTATTTATCTATTTATGCACAACACACAGACAGTACACAGGAGAACACATATATAAATAAATTGGAGGTACATAGGTACTACATATTCCCATAGGAATCTCTTCCTGCAGTTCTTTGACAGGAAAAACAGTAAAAACTAAGACACTGTGCGTAACATGACATGAACAAAGAAAAAGAACAAAATTTACCAAAATTTAAGCCAATAGAAACTTGAAAACTACATACACAAAATGAAACCGATAAATAATGTATTAAATAAATATATAATAAATATATTATATTTCTTTTCATGACCTAAAATGGTTGTCAGATGTTACAAGTTAACACCCACCTTAGTTTGTTTATTTATATATTAGTAGTTAGTATGTAACTACCGGTGGTTTTGCCTTCTTGAAATTTTGCAAGTTCATAGTACAAATAGGACCTTTGAAAGGGAAAATGTATGTATACTCCGTCTGTTTAGGTAGTTAACTATTTGTAAACAAACCATAAAAAGAGTTCTTTATAGTTGACATTTCCATGACTCAAAATACTTCATAAGAAAATAAAATTGTTTCCATTTTTACGACAGTTTTCTCTATTAAATGTTATGTTTCTGTTCCTTTTCACTTATTTCTTAGTAAATATTACTATATATATCTGCTTGAGCATAATAATTTAATAACATTTATTAAATAATATAATATTTCATTACAATAGACACCATAAAGAGCCTAAAATCCCAGGTATCCAAAACCTTTGTTTATGAACGAAGCATTAGATAATGTTGTCAAATTAAAGAGTCCAATTAAGATGTAGCGCGACAATGAAAGTAGCGTGTATCACGTTTAGTCGGTTAATCAGGCGCCATTGACAGCTCTCTCGTCGTTTGCGCTCGCGTTCCTATTTTGTTGAATTTATCTTGTTTTTGTTTTGTTTTTGTTATTACGTTATTTAAGTTTAGGTTATTCATCGTTTTTAATTAATGTGTTCAAATATATTGAAGAAACTTGGCCCAAAGACACATATCCGTACAAGAAAGAAATCCGTACATCAGATTCAGAATAGTTTCTATTTAAACATGATAATGAAATAGACCCATAGGCTAGGCTTTTGTACGATTTAGGCATTTGTGCCTGTATGTGTGTGTGTGACAAATGAACAAAATAAAACGATGTTAAAGTGAATTTAGTTTAAATTAAAACACGAGAAATATTTGAAGTAATAGAAGGTTAAGTATCTCTGTGTCACGTGGTTTTGTTTGTTTACCTTTAGTTAATTACCTAAACAGATGGACTATAGGTCAAGTTACAGGTAAAAGCTATACCTAATAAAACCAGGAAAACAATAAAAAGAACTTTCTGTGACACAAACTACAACTGCTGTTCAAAGATTGTGATAAATACTACTTTAGCCAGTTTTATGATATTCTTTTGTTGCATAATTTTTCAAATGTATTTTGATATCCTACCTTGAAGGTTATTTTGGCTAGTTTGGCCCTGACCCAGTCATGTCAGTCTATAAAACTTTGTTCAAAATAAGATGCAGTTAAAATGATGAATCATACTATGACTATAGATTTTGGGTGAGATACATATGCATAACATCATGCCTTTTATCCCCGAGGGGGTAGGCAGAGGAGCACATTACGGCGTTTAATGCCACTGTACTATGTAACACCCATTTTTCACTATTTATGTTATGAATCCGATGTAATAGGGGGTGAGCCTATTGCCATATACCGGGCACAATTTCAGACTCCGTGCTACCACTGAGAATTAAAAAAAACCCAGTAGTACTTTGCTTGACCCGGGAATCTAACCCAAGAACCCTTGCCCGGCAGTCGGACTTGCGACCACTCGGCCGATGAGGCAGTCAAGGCATTGAGTGTTGGGTGAGATATGTGGTTTGTTAAAAATATTATTAATAGTTATGTGAAATAAGGTGATTTCATGATACATATTGTGTAATGCATACAATGCTAGCACCAATCATTCAAACATTTTCAACACAAACATGAATTAATCTAGTAAAAAAGAATCAGTATTATGAATTTTACGCAAATGAAAATGACTCTTTTTCAAAAAAGTCAAAATCATTTATTTCAATTAGACCAGTAAGGCACTTTTGAACGTCAAAACAAAATATTTAAATACTAAATAATAAGAAAAAAAAAAAAATGTGTCAGTCTGTAAGTCAGTCCTCTAGTGAAGCTATTTGCTCGTTCCAAAGTGTAGATTCCTATGGATAAGAACGAGCAAGAAACTCCATAGGTTACTCTTTTTCAATCATGTTCACAATACAATTTTTGGTTACATTCTTCCGTTGAGTTCAATAATGTGAGAACAATGTAATACCAATATTTGGTCAAGGAGACGGAAAAAGAAAATAACCTTGAGGACAACAAATTTAATACAGTCTGGAGCTGACCAGTCCCATCTGACAGCGCCCGTTCACGAACATGACACGTACACCAGCACCGCCCAACTCGACCATGTTATAGGGAATCGAGCGATCCACTGCCCGTGCCACTGCCAATGAGACTTTTGAGTGAGCATGACAACTCCAGGCTGACACACATGCATTCTACTAGTCTAATTTAATTTAGGTAGTTACAGGGCTCTCACATTTACAATAGTTACCTATATAAAGTTTTACAGTGTGTATATTTGAACAAAATGGCTGTATTTGACATGATTGGAACTCATTGGAACATCAATGTTTTTCTCTATCCTGTGGAGCCGGACCAGCATGCCTCCAAGCATTTTTATCCTCTATGTAATCATTAAGCTTGTAGTATGCTTTTCCGCATAACGTTTTTTTAATATATAATTTAAATTTTGACTCATTTAAATGTTGTATTTCCTCCGGAATTTTATTATAGCATTTAACACAGAAACTTTTTTTAACAGCTTGAATGTCTGTATATGAAACACAATAGAAAATACATTGTGTCTTGTGTCATGGTTAGACACAACGGGTTAAAACTTCACGAGTCATTCTCTTATCTATCATTCACATCAGACTGTGAAGTTATCTTAAAAAAATCCATACATATATGTTTGTATTTGTATATCTATTACTTCTTTGAAATTAACCAAATAATGTGATTTCTTTACAGGTTCTTCTCCTGATTGGTGAAAATTTTGACCATTCAGATGAAATCTGTGGTGCTGTGGTTAACGTTAGGGCGAAACTCGATAAAATTGGTGAGTATCAATATCTATAATAGTACCCAATATAATGTTTTCATTGGTAGACCTTTTGCAACTCCAATATAATTCAATGTGGGAATTCAGTACACCCTTACATGGCAGAAGAATAACATTATGCTTCTAGACAATACTGCAGTCAATTAACATGCATTTTATTTATATGTTACAGGAGTCTGGACAGCTGATACTTCTAAGCAGCATGCTAACATTGAAATTGGAAGAAAAATCAAAGAGCAGCTCGGTATTCATGGGAAAATCGGCTTCCAAGTCCATCGCGACACCATGGTCAAACATAGTTCGGCAACTAAGAATCTGTACACTGTTTAGTTGCTCGTCCTTGTCTGTACACTCGATGTTAACATTTGTATGGGGTGGCTAGTTAAAATGTCTTAGAATGTTATTGTTGTTGGCGAGTGAGTGCGGTAAGGCAGATGAATCGACTAAAATCGTCTTCATGATATAATTTAGTCGATTTTTCCTCCTACTAACACTCGTATGTCTTCCTTTTCTGTTAATTCGATTTTTTGAATTCGAAAAGGAATTCTGGTTTACAATGTTTGTGTGTAAGAGAAAAGAGATATTTTAGCTATAATATGAGCTATCTCATACATTGTTGTTGTGTTTTCTAACCATTGATAAGCTACCAGGAGTTATGATATTTAGGTTGATTTAAGGAGTTGTCTCACATAATTTATCTTAATATAACGTGCATGTTACGTCTGTGGCTAGAAAACTATAAATTTTAAGTCTGACTTTTGTACTAAGTGTGCATTAGTTGTAATCTATAGATGTAATTGTGTCGAAATGTGTTAGCTTGGTTGCAGGATTTAAATTATTAGTATTATATAAAGGAAATAACCATTATTTCTACCTTTAGCACTTATTATATATTATTTTGTTATTGAGAAACACTTGGCTTTTAACACTGCCGTCTGTCGGTCATATTGTAACAGCATTTCAACGATGCAAGTATACTATATAAACATTAAATACCATTTTGTATAAAAACTTAAACTGTTGTTTTTATTTACTAGTTTTTCACCTATAGGTTCCCCAGCGTTAAGTACCTAGGTAATCGTTTAAATGAAATACACAACATTTACAATAGTTGTACTTACTTCATACTCTTTTTTTAAAATTCAAATTCAAATCACTTTAGCATTAAAGTATATTAAAGTATAGTGTGTACAGGGTGATTTACAATTTTTGACAAAACATGTTCAACTATAGGCCATAATAAAATCTTGAATTAAAACATAATTACCTATATTTTGCAACCTGTGTGTCTCTTTTCTGAGATTCCATTCATCAAGTCTTTATAAATATTTTTTAGCTCTAGCAACATTGATGTTACGTTATCGGGACTTTCAGTGACACCGGTGATTCTTGAGATACTTCAAAAGTACTGGCTAACGTTATAAATACTGTGTTCGTACAAACTTCGTTTTATTATATTCATTTTATCAGTGAGTGCAGCTACGTGCATCGTAATTGTAAATCGGTAAGTAATAATTATTTGTAATAAACAATTAATCATAATAATCTTCACAAACACGGTAAACACTGCTGACGAGGTTATGTTACAATTTGAAAAGTTTCAACGATGTGAGAATTACTTTTAATTAAATCACTAGATGTGATTATGAGTTGAGTGGTTGCACGCGTAAAAAGTGAAGGAGGAATTTTTTAAATTCGATCCCAGTGTAATGATGAAATATTCCTACTGATTTCGCAATACTCGTTGTTGACACAGAATTTGATTTTGTTTCACATTTTATAATAGTATCATCGAATTATTCATTAAGTAGGTATAAGGCGATTGCAGTCTAAATGTTTTAAAAATGTTGAACTATTGATCTAAATACCTAAAGTTTTGTCTATTCCTTCACACAGTGCATTGGGCACGAATGCGCGATGGTTGTCATGGTAGGTATTTTGATACATAAAGTCAAAATTCTACAATTTTTCAATCTTATACCTGTGCAATAAAGTTGAAATTCTATTAACAGTTTAAGATTTAGATAGGTCTGATGGTGTCTGACTCTATATAGTTGGTACCTCAACAATATTTTTTTTTTATTTATTTAACACTTTATGTACAACTGTATACAATGGCGGACTTAATGCCGAATAACAATTGCCGAACAATATGTACCTAGAGTATCTACTAAGTAGGTACGTACTTAGGTTTGTTGGTTATTATGTGCCTTTGTTCTGTCCTTTTAATAAAACAAATCTATATTTAGGTTCGCATCATAGTTCCCTGACTAGTGCATTAGGTAGGTTATCTGTGATCTTAGTGCAGTTCAGATGCTGCGTCACGGTTCACGGCATCACACGTGTATCAAAGATACCTATTCTTTGTACCTACTACTCTTACATTTGTTTGACAATCTTATTGGACTTCTCCCATCTTGGGTCAGGTGAGAGGGAGTGTGAAATGAAACTCTTACTGACTAAAAACCAACCCGTTCGTACTTTTGCTCTTCGAGCCGGAACTCCAGCAACCCGTTAAGAATTCCGCGGCTCTGTATCAAGTATCAGCTATCTGTGGTGGTCTGATGGTCGTTTGAGGCGCGCGCGGATCTGGTTCCAGGCGGCAACCCGCCCTAGCTCGATGTCCGCATACCCGCACTTACCTACAGTGGTCGGAGATCGTTCCGCGATCTCCGATACCCGGAGTGTCTCCCGCGATGGCTGGGAATGATGTTTTTGACTTGGAGGAACATTGTAGGTAATTTGCTCGTATCGCGCACAACTGGCGGGTTTCAGCCAGTAAATGTTATTAGAGGTATTTAACAAACAAACGATTGAGAATTGATCTTGCAATATCCCTTTGGAACAATTATTATTATTAGGGGATTCCCCGAATTTACAAAGTCCAAGACAGAATGTTCCCGAACGATCGATATATTGCTCATGATTTGTATCAAGTAGAGAAGTTGGTAGGTACATTAGTGATTAGATTAGAAAGATGACGTCAGGAGTGAATGACTCTTGCATTGCAGCAGAGTTACACCTTTTGTGATACTTACCTCGTGTGCACTTGACGCCCAATATATTATCTGTGATATATAATATTTTTTTACGAGTCTACAAGAATCAGGTTTTCTATTACTTTTATTACCTAAAGTAGTTTTTTTAGTGAGTAGGTACCTATGTTTCGTTTAATATTTCGGTCAGAAGACACCACAGAAATAAAATATAGGTATGTATAGGTACATATATCAATGGATGACAATGAGCAGCAATGAGCTGCTGCCATCGATTGCCTTATATACCTAATACATCTAAAAGCATACGCACAGAAACAAACAAAATCCAGATTGATATACACGGTATTTTTTCATCAGTAGGTAGATACTTAACGTATTTAAAGTTCTTCACGCTAACTCTTTTATATACCTACCTATAAATGGAGACTATTACTTTCAGAAAAGCAGTTTCTGCAAAAATGTCGTCGACCGTAATTGAGTCAGTTAGCAGCCATCTACCGGAGAGAATGAAGCACCCGCTGCGTGACGAGTGGACCTTCTGGTTGTTAATGGGAGACAAGAAGAATTGGGAGGATAATCTGGAGAAGTTGACCAGTTTTAGCACTGTCGAAGATTATTGGTGGTACGTCTTGACAATGTTTTAAAAACTCTTTGGCAAAGTATTTAATCACTTACAGACAACACACAGCACTACATAAACTATGTACTTGACTTACACTAGTATAAAATAACTATGTAGCACCTAATTGTTGCTTTTCTTTCTATTGTTTTTGCTCATTAACAATCAATTAATAGAGATTTCAATACGGCAATTCAATATTTTTTTAAACCATGCCTCCTGTGTCGTGGGTGCGTTTACAAACATACAAGTTCACATACACATGTCACCCAGTCCCGGAACAACAACCTGTGGATCACACAAAAAGTTGATCCATGCAGCAATCGAACTCGCGACACGTTGCGCAGCAGCCAGTTGCCCAGCCACCGCACCAACCGTGCAATTATTTTTTTGCCATTATCTTTATTGAAATCTAGACTGATATCGACAATGATTACTTAGAAAAGTAAAAAATTAAAAGCAAAAAATAACTACTATTGGTCAAACGTACACACCCACACCATTTTACACACCCACTGGTAGGTGAGAAGTCTCGTCCTTTTTTTTGAAGTCGGTTTAATATACATATGTTCGTCGTCAAAGTCATTATTCCCAAGATGTTATCGAATGTTGTACCTAATAAACACATTGATTGACATTGTGTACACTCTGCAGCCTCTACCATCACATGAAGGTGCCTTCCGAGCTGAAGTTGGGCCAGGACTACATGATCTTCAAGAAGGGCATCCAGCCAATGTGGGAGGATCCTCATAACAAGAAAGGGGGTCGTTGGTTGATCATGCTTGATCGAATGACGAGTGCGCACATGGATAGTATCTGGGCAGATACGGTAGGACATACATTATGAACTTACCTTTCTTTGTATTTTCCCTTACCTACAAATAATATTTCCGGTGTTGTGTGAAACCAAATTGCATGGGAAAAAAAGCAAATTGGGCGATGCAAATAGCATAATTTTTGTTCAATTAATTTATGTTAACTCGCGTAAGTAGCGTATTTATCATAGATATAATTTTTCAATATTTCTGTGGTATTTATCATAGATATAATTGGTATTTATTATTTTAGACATATGTTTGTTTTTATTTGCGTTAGCTTTTTTTTTAAAACGTTCCTCACACTAGCATTTTCACCTATGTCGTGGGTGCGTTTATAAACATACAAATTAACATAAACGCGATACGTTAACACCCGCAACAACAATCTGTGGACCACACAAAGAGTTGGTCTGTGCGGGAATCGAACTATATCTCATTAATCGTATTAACTAATTAACTTATTAAGTGAAGGCAGGTACTTCAATCAGTTTACTTTGCAATGAACACTACAAATACGGTTATCTAATTGTTGAAGTTTGACCCTTCAGGGGCTAGTAAGGCTAATGAAGAAGTACTGGCTTACCAACGGTACAAACTAATCTGTTATCAAAAATGTTTCGTAGAAGGAGTGATCCTATCTTGCGCGCGAATTTTATTTACATTAATTTATTTAAGATTCTTTAAAATAGCATTTTTAAATAATAATAAAAAAAATGAATATAATAAAAATAGGAGCCGACCAGTAGTGGGAGCATGGTCCAAGCTACCGGTGGTTAGGGCTCCAGAGACAGAAGCCTCCTCACGATACGAGCCGTTTCACGGAGAACTGCCTTCTGTATGAGGCTCTTTAACCTATTGGCCGACATGACTATCGGCACATAGCTAGCTCACGGCACATAATAGCTAAGTCTAGATATTTTATTTGTTTATCTTTCTCAGCTTTCACGAGGTTCTCGTCATGGGCTGGGCTATGTCGGCGACCTTTGTTCGTTTGCGGATTTCTTCGTTTTTTATCCGACCTCGCAAAGTACCCCAAGCATAGCCCTTTCCATAGCGCGCTGAGCGACCTTGAGCTTCTTTCTAGGGCCCACAGTGAGAGACCACGTTTCAGTTCCATAGTTCATAGTTCCATAGTACTGAGGTAGAGGTAATCCAACATACCTCAGTACCTCAAGACGACGCCCTACATTTTTAACAGAAATTGTAGGTCCGAACCGCCTGCCAAGTGTGGATGGAGATTATACCAAACAATTGTGTAGGAGAGTCATATACACAGGATACATTCTCATGAACAATTATCTTCTTAACTTACAGGTGTTAATCCTAATTGGAGCTACCTTGGAGCACACTGACGATATATGCGGCGTTGTCGTTAATGTTCGAGATAAGAATAAAATCTGTGAGTATAAAAAAACCCATTATTTATGCACCGTCTTATTAGATTTTAAGATTTTATCACTAAACTATAAAGTCTACTATCGTATACTAATTGCGTCTATAACTAGATACAGATCTTTATAATAATGTTACAATGTTCCTTTCCCCAGCTGTTTGGATGAAGACCAACGATTCTGATCCAGTTCTTGAGGTGGGTAGGAAATTGAGAAAGCAGTTTAAGATACCCTACAAGTTCAATTATTATAAGCACAATTCTTCTAAGTCTATGTACTCTATGTAATTAAAGATAAATCATTAGATTTAACATAATTATGTTGTGAATATTATAATGTTGTTGAATTGCATGTTTCACGTTTTATGACTGTAAAATATTGCGTTATAAGTGAGATTTTTTATTTGTCTATATTTTATTTTGATATTATGACAGGAAAGGAATGGACAATCAGTCTTTTGTTTATTAAAGAATATAATTTTATAGTTTTTATAACTATTGAGACGTACTAAATTAACTAAAAATCGTGGGTTACTCACGTTACTGAGAAAGGCTCTACTAGTTTCGAACCATAGAGGGGTTCTTTCTCGTGAGAAGCATGCGCGGTCGCGGCGATGTCGCGCAGCCTACTCAAGTTTGTAATCTAAGTATTGTTAATTTGTAATTATTGTTTAGTAGGATTCTTGTTTCTCAGTATATTCACGTTAGCAACCCGCAGTTTTTAATTAACATAATGGGGATGATGACAGGGTATGAAAATTAAAAATATAATTAGTCCGTAACTTAGGTAATAAAAAAATATTAGACACGTATTTTTTTATTTTGTTGTATAATAAAACAATACTTAGATAAAACGAATCAAAGTTTAGGAGTGGGGGCTAAAACGTCATTTCTTAGTATAAAATGTACTGAGAAGTGACGTCACGCGACATTTCAAATCAATATATCTTCGAAACTATTCGTTTCCGTAAGAAAATAAAAAATACGTGTCTAATGTTTTTAAATAATCTACCAGACGGACATTAAAAAAAAAATTAGTCGTCTACCCCATTATTGTTTTGTATTTAAAAAATGCAAAATTTGTGATTGAGTTCTTTTTAAATTTCTTTTTACTTTTGACTACTATGTACCGATTTCAGTTTTATTAGCATTTTACTAATGATGTTTGTAAAGATGTTGAATTTGACTGGTACACGGCTACACATCGAGCTTTACATAACCAGTATAAACTGAACGTTAAATGTGCGGAAATATGATGCGACGCGACACCAGGATAAACTGGTTTTGTATAGATTGATATGTGGCCGTGTGTACATATTACATTAAGTTAGAATGTAAAATATTTTACGCCTGTTGTATGCATGTACAATCTGTATAATTATACCTAGTAAGTTTAGTATAGGTAGGTACTCAAAAAGGTTTGTTATTTAGTCATGTAAGACATTATATTTAACCGCCTTCACAAAGGATCTCAATTGGATTATATTGTAGCGATTGATTTGACGAATGCGCCTTTTGTAAGTCACTTATGAATCACGTATTCGTCAGATGTAGGTACAACCATAGGCAGTACATATGGCCGAATTTAAAACCAATCTTAATTCACAATCCGTGGATTAAGATCGATTTTCGCCATTACTTTTGATTTTTTTTTAAATAGCGATCGATCTAGAATTCTAGAGATTTTTTTAAACCACTGACGGCGTCAAGAATAGTACACGGCCCACCTGATGGTAAGTGGGTGCCGTGGTCTATGAAGATTTTCGATTTAGATCAGTAATTCGAATGAGGGAAATGGGAATAGGTAAATCAATGTATTGCATACTTCTCTATGGTCGTGCTTGATTAAGTGCCGATTTTTTCAACGCCAGATTAAATTTAACTGAAGAATAACTTTGAATATATTATGACAATTCTTCCATACTAAAAACTGTCAATTTTATAGGTTAAGAACTGATGATTAAAAATTTCCCATTAATTTGATTTGTTGAATGCCAGTGTCAACCTCATATCACATTGAATTTCCTATTCACTCGTACGAATAGTTGAGTACCTATTGGTGAAGTACATTATTATGTAGAGTATTTCTGTGATAATATACTTAATATTTGTACTTTGTATAATCTAAGTGATAACACGAATAAATATTTTTTAATCAAAATGTTTTGTAAGTTTTTTACCTTGGTTACTATATTAAACATTCATTATCAGTTCGTGTCCGTTCCTCGTCGCATACCAGGCCTCTTCAACATCTTTTTTGTATATAACCTCTGCCAGCTAGCTTGGGAATGTCTCGTTGCTCCACCAAGCTGGAAGGGAGGACGCCTACATTATGTTTACCTAGTCGCAGTTTCTACTCTAAAAATCGAAGTAACTAATCCAGTACTTTGATCCACGTAACGTTTTTAAATACTTTTTAAATAACAGAATAAAAAGTAAACCAGTAGCAATAATACAAAGGTTTTATTTAAGCTAAATGTAGGAGAAGACGGAAACAATTATAGTATCGTGCACGTTCTGGAGTTAGTTTGGTTCCTGATTTCTGTCTCGATGGTTTCCTCAACCTTATGGATGCTGTCCTCAGCTGTGTCGATGCCTTTGTGGACGTTCTCTGAAAAATATGAATACTATGATAAATTGGCTGCATCACTCGTCAAGGAAATGGTTCAATCAAAAATAAACTTTCTAATAACAGCATGGGGTTTGAATTCGTGTTCGATGTATCGTAATAGGCTCGCTACTTATTACACGGAGCTTAAAACTGGAGAACAGTAGGAGTTCAATTAAATATATGCACTTCTACGTACTTTGAGGAATAAAAGATGTGATGTTATGAGAAAATATACACATGTCACAACATATTGTTGTCACTTTTCCACCTATTACATTTTCGTTCATGTTATATCCCCGTGAAATACTTAGAGTTGTCTCGTAATAATAAATCATCCTCAACATGCAAGCTTCGTAAACAACATCACGCGACGTAAACAACAACAACTTACCAACAACTTTTTCTTCAATAACTTTTCCTTTGCCCATACACGAGTGTTCTTTATCTCTGATCGTCTGGAACATGCGTGCGAAGCGTCCTTTCTCCGGAGATTTGTTTACTACAACGTCACCTTCTTCATTATGCTCCCCATCTTCAACGCCGTCGATGTGATCTTCACTCCTAACAATAGGCATCACAGCTTGTGTCTTTGTCTTGCCTGTTTGTGGACTAGATTTGTCTGACCCGCATGGAATGGTTTCGTTCTCTGATTGCCCCGCCTCACTTTTTTGCCCATCATCACTATGTTTACTAAGCACCGGGCTTATTTGACTCAAGTCAGGAATGTGTAACAGTTCCGGTAATATCGGCGTCTTTGGTGGAGGTGAATTTGCTACCTCTGTCATTTTGTCAGGAATGTCCAGTATTTTCTTCGCTTCATCGTGTATCACAGGAGGCACTACCGCCGCTTTTTTCACAAACTCCTCAACTATTTCCACTTTCTCATTAACTTTGTCTGTAACACTTGTAACAATTTCTTCAACTTTACTTTCCGCCTTATCAGCCATAGTGTCCATACTCTCCATGACCTCCATGACTTTGGTTTCTCCATCAATCGGCTGAGTGTTTACGTCGGGCGCGTCATGCGTGCTTCCGTTTTCGTTCTCAAGGTCGTTTATGTTTACTATGTGGGAGCCGCTGACGTTGGCCTCTAATGAATCTATCGATCCGGTCTCTTCGTTCACATTTCCATTCACGTTATCGGTGTTATGCACGTCAATGTTGGAGTTCGTGATGTCCTCGATTACATGCGAGTGTTCTTCGGATTTATTCATGGCTGGTACCTTCTGTAGCGGTGGAAGTTCGGTTAAAGAGATCTGTCTGGTTTGTTCGTTGACTAGATTAAAGTCGTTGTTAGTGAAGTCCGCGTTAGAGCCTTTGGTGGCAGTCAGTAACGTGTGGCAGCCCCCGCAGGCCACATTGTCTACGATGTGCCCATTCATAGCAGTGACCCGCTTAGGTGTGTATTGATTGGCGCCTGCCTCGTTTGCGTTGCCGGCATCGTCAATTTCTTCCAAACACAGTTTATTGTGCCGGGACTCACCGCAGGCGTAAAGCAATCCGTTGTCTGTAACGAAACCGAAGTTTAATACGACCAGCGACGACAAATGGTAATCGAATACTGATCATACCGCCCCGCCGAGGGCAATTTAGACACTATTTGTGTTGACGTGACAATGAAAATAAGCCAATTACATTAGATATCGAATGTATGTCAGTAAAAATGTCCGCTTTTGATGAATTGGAGCGACGCTTTCAAATAAATGAAATGTGTGTCATTTCCTAAATATTCACTTAGAATTTAGTTATGAACAAATATTGTGTAAGTAAATAATAATACGTACGTACGCAGTTGTGTTTACGAAAAGGTCTCAGGTTGAATTGTACTTGACACTCGACTATTTTATATTGGATGAGTAGCTGAGCATTGTCGCCTAGTTGATGAGAGTATTTATCTAAGACCCAGCAAGGGAAATAGAGAAAGAAATGCATATTTTTTTAAACCCCGCTTTAAAAAGATACACACACTAATTTTGAACTAGACTCGAACTTTGAAATACACCTTTACCAATCTGCTTACATCGCGGCTTGATAAACTACAAAAGTGAAGTGAACCACACAAATACATTTTTTTATAAAATCAATACTACCTGTGACAAACGCAGTGTGCATCGCTCCACACGCGACTAGCTTCAGTTGGTATCCATCAAACATCTTCTCCATATCTATTTCAGTGGGTTCTGTGACGTGTTCCACCTCTTTGGGAAGGCCAAGTTGACCTTTTTCGTTGGACCCGAAGGCCAGGATTTTGCTTTCGTCCATGGAGAGTAAGAATGTATGGGCTGCACCGCAACATGCACTCTTGATTGGTAGGGTAAGAGGTAATACTTCGGGAACATATACCGTGGAGGGTTTGTCTGGTATTCCAAGTTTTTGGTTCTCATTATCTCCTGTTACGAAGACTGCGCCTTTGGCTGTTGGAGTAAACAATGAGAAATAAATGTCTTGTTGAATATTTCATTAATGGTGGACTACGGAGACATAACGTATTTTTATTGTATCTGATATATGTATACCGGCAGTCAAGAGGTTAATTATATCAACAAGTTCGCACCAATGTGCTACGAGTTTTAAAAATTACGAATGCATTATTTGCTGTACGGCTACAGCATAAAATGACTACATCATTCACAAACAACAACAAAACATAGCGTACAGTCATGAATATTCGTAGCACTGATGACCGCGTAGCATTGACGAGTTCGTAGCAAATTGCTACGGCATAGATTGATCGGCTACGG